TTTAAAAGCTCCTTTCCAAATCCTTGTCCCTCAGACAGGCTCATCTCTGCCCCTTACCACGTTGCTGCCTCTCTGTCCCCGCCCACTCTCCCCTTTCTCTGCTCCTGTGTTTGGTACCAGTCTCCTCCTTGTCTCCGATGCCAGTGTCGTCATAGGGACGGATTGTCAGAACCAGTCTTCTAGAAAGAATTCCAGATCAAGCAGAGCACCAAGCTGAGAGTACGTTCTAGTGAATATTTATTGAAAGACGTAACGACCACTCCAAAATTCTGTGGACCGTGTTGGAAACACCTCATAGCAGCTCAAAGAGTTATCCTAAGGAAAACAGAATTAATGAAAGTCAAAGCCTCATTCTAAAAGGGTGAAACTTGGTAAAACTGAAGCCCTGAGCCAGCTCTGTGGAATGGGGAGAGATTTTAGGAAGTGAAGAAGACTATGGCACGTGGTTCCCAAAAACTGGGAGTTCGCCACTGGCCTGGCTTACAAACAGAGCTCTCACAGCCCTTGAAACACTTCTGTGCCTGTAGCACCGGAAGGAAAAACACTGGCACAAACGGTCCATCCAGTCTATAAAATTTGAGAGCTACTGTCCAAGCTGGTACTGTCTGTTTATCCTGTTCTATGTCCAACTGAGCCCTGCTGCCAACTTTGTAAGGGTATATAGAAAGAGCTCAGACTTTCTGTAAGTTTGAATTGAGACCAGCAGGAACCAGGGGGAGTGATTAAAACATCACAGAGGAATTCATAGACACCAGATGCTCACACACCTTGTTCTGGCTCTTACATTTCCTTGTTAACAGCCCTGGATTTAATGAAGAATATAGACAAAAAGGAGAAATTCCACTAGACACTGACTTGAGAGAGAGAGAGAGAGAGAGAATGTAGATGCTATTTTTTGTTTTCTAAGAGCTCATGAATATAATGTTTGGCCTAAAATCATCTGAATTTGGAGCTCAGTTCTCACACTTACTATCTTGGCAAAGGGTTCTGTGGGTGTCGTTTCATGGAGTCCTCATGGTGGCTTAGGTGAGGCTTCTCAGGTGTGTGAAGCCCAGAGCTGGTACTAGAAACCCCGCTTGCTGGTTTCTGTAGTGTAGGCTCCTTGTTCGAAGCCTGCTGTTTCTGATTTACTATGGCAGATACAGAAGTCTTCTGTGCTGCCCAGGTGATGGCCCTGAGGTTAAACTTTTTCACAAAGGTCCTTTTCTCAGAGCAAGATGTAGCCAGGGGAAGAGCAAATGCCTCATGGTTTTCCCTCTACAGAGTCCCTAGTGTTAGGCAGAGCAGGACTAATACTGCTCTGGTGTATGAAACTGCAACTGAGTCACAGCCTCCCATGTCACGGTGGAAAAAGGAGAAAGTGAGAGCTCTGAAGCAGGATGCTGGACCCTCAAAGGAATGTCCCTGTGCAGCATCTGCTGGGGGCATGCTGCAAACCACCGGGAAAGCTGCAGGCTTGGCCCGTACTCTGATCTGCAGAGCCTTCCCGAGCAAAAAGCAGGTGCTGTGAAGTGAATCAGCACCTGCCTCAGACAAGCCTTTGGATGGCTCCCCATTTTTTAAAAATAGACTTGGAGTCACTTTAGCAATGCCAACCTTTCTAGCTCCCCAGCCCTGTCAGTGGCCCTGACATCTCTTCTCACCTGCCATCTCCTGTGTCTTCAATCCTGCAGCGAAGGCCTGTGTTTGGGGAAGCCTTGCTGTATAAGAGCTTCTAAAAAGGTGGCCAAGAGAGAGAGTCATGAAACAGAGAAGAAGAGGGATGTGCAAAGCTATCTTCATTTTATACCCTCACCCTCCAGTTCCTGAGGGAAAGGGAGGTGGAAGCAGAAAGATAGATCACTCACCCAGTTTCCACAGAACTGGCAGGAGGGAGTCTCAGGGCCTTTGATGGCCTTGAGCGATGGGCTCTTCCAAGTCAATTTAATGTTCCATTAAACATTTGCAGGACAAGTGTCAGGCATTATGAGGAAGACACAATGAAGATTAAATGACCTTCCCCTCAAAGACTAGAGTCTCTATTGGGGGTGAGAAGGCACAGAAGCACCTATCTTTGGGAGTGGATAGCTGAGACTTCCGACACAGTGAGCTTTGTCATGGGGAAACAGCGGCTCCAGAACCCATATGAATCCACTCGCGTTTTACAGATCTGAGACACAGAGCCACGGGCAGCTTCACAAAGGATACTCCCGCTTAACTGTGTCCAAGGACAATGGGAATCCTAAGAAATGTACAGTGGTGTCCTGGTTCACAAACTTAGTTCTTTCCAGGATTCTGGTTGAAAAAAATTAATTCCATGATTCCAGTTGCATACACTTGCAGTTCGATTGCAATCAGAATCATGCAACAAATTCTGCAACCAGAACCATGAAAAGAATTAAATTCACAGACCAACATATCACTGTATTAGGCATTAAGAGATCACTGTCCTAGGAATTTAGTGTACATTGTTTTACTTAGTCTCACAATAACTTGAACAAGGATGTACTATTATTTTGTCCACTTTATAGCTGAGAAGACCAAGGCCATTCAGTAGAGGGATGGGGCCCATCTTAGGTGACATTGGGGAGCAGTAGTCCCACTGTGTAGCCCCTGCTCTTACCCCTCTGCTACTCTACTCTCCTCACAGGGAATTTGCACCCTTACAAAGCTCCAGTTCTGTAAGCAAGGATTCCATACACCAGATTCCCAACAGGCTTGCAAAAAGGTGGAGGCCAACAGACTGAAGCAGGGGGCAGAGGCTAGTACTCAGTTATCTTCCATAGGATGTTCTTGGAGTCTGTAGGGTGCACATTATTTGAGATAGTGGGTGAACAAGCAATATGGGGTTGGCTGCCTGACAGTAGGGGGAAAATTCAAAAACATGGACTGCCTTCAAAACTGGTACTCTATGAGACAGGTTCTCTTATCTTTCTATGTTTGTTTTTACTTATGGAAACATCATGGGAATTCTGCTCCCTATGAGGTCTGAGTGAACAAGAGAAACCAAAACAGTGGTGCAATAGCTCTAGGGAAACCACAGCCCAGCTCAGTGCTGAAAGGAGGAAGCCAGTAGCTTAAGAGAGGAAGTCACAGCCAGTAACAGTGCTCTGCCCTTGCTTCCTTGGGACGTACAAGAGCTTTGCTTATGACTCTTAGAGCTCATAGTGAAGTGACTGCTCACCCACAGTGCTAGGAAGCAGAATGAACAATGCATATTCCAATGTACACACGTGCATGGATAAGTAGATGAATGATGAATGCAGAAGACAGATACATTCCAATTAGAGATGAGAAATATATTTCATATCTAGTTTTGCCAGTTCTACAAGTTCATTTCCAGGAAGAATAAAAAGAAATCCAGCTGCTGATAGTATTATTCTTTACATGTCAGCAGGTTTCTCTCAGTGATCATCACGGGGTACTTATTTTTACCTTATCAACTATATTTTGTGGAAACATCATTACCTGTGAACGTAAGCAACCACTGCCTGCTCGTCCCATTCTTTTTTTTTTTTTTTTTTTTTTTTTTTTTTTTTTTTTTGGTACTGTGGATCGAACTCGGGCCCTTGAGCTTGCGAGGCAGGTGGCGGAACAACTGAGCTAAATCCCTGGCCCTATTCCCACTCTTCAGAGAGAACAGATCAATGGCCCAGCTGAGTGGGAAATGCAAAGAAACAGAGGTAGCTAAAGGCCCATCTTGGAGAGGCTTGTGCTATAATTCGAGCTTGCTCTTCCAAGTTCGTGTTGGAAACTTAATCTCCAAGTTAGAATGTGGATGGGTGGCCCTTTGGGAGGTGATTAGGAGTCAGTGAGGTCACAAAGGCAGGGTCCCTGTGCTGGCATTAGAGGCTTTGTGAGAAGAGGAAGGGTGAACCAAACAATCACTCTGTCTTGCTCTGTGATGCCTCCCCCATGTTATAGAGCAAGAAGACACTTCCCAGATGCCAGCGCCATGCTCTTGGGTTTCTGAGCCTTGAGAACCATGGGCTAAATAAACCTGTTTTTTAATACATCACCCACTCTGGCATTCAGTTACAGCAGTGGGCAGCAAACTAAGGTATCTGGAAAACATTGCACTCTGCATATGGTGGGAACCCATTGGGTCCATGGTGTCCAAGTAGAAAACGGTATTCCCATCTCAGCAGAAGGTTGCAAAACTTATTATAGGATTTAGAGAATGGGAGACAGAAGTACTGGAGATGGAGAAAAGGAAGGAATGACTGTATCATGTGAAACCAACACTTACATAGAAAAGTGCTGTAAAGATAAAAGGGGCCAATTCCTGGACGAGCAGCAGCAGCACGGGGAGAACGAAGATGAGAATTCTTTCTGTACAGTGGACCAGGGCCGGGATTCTACTGTATTTGAGGATTTAAGATGAAGTTCTAGCAAGAAAGGGACCCTGGATGGAGTAGCCTGCTGCTACTCAGTGAGGAACACCCCGTGTCCCAGGGCCTTTTGCAGGTGTTGGGGATGGAGTTCTCAGAGCTGTGGAGCTTATGGCCTGACAGGTGGTAGAAAGGTTCCCGAGTAAGCAGTGATAACCTGGGGTTTCCCAGTGCATTGCTCTGGGAAAATCACTGCACCCATCTTGATTTTGTGGGTTCTATAGGGAGAGAATAAAAAGTTTGTCTGAAATTCACCCATTCATAATATTTATCTTTCTTTTCATTTTAAATTCAAATAAAAATAATTTATATTGCTCTATTTTAAATGGCATGGATAATATGGAATCCTGTATTTGCGATACCCATAGCCACCTAGGCATTCTTCCATCTAACTACAGTGGTAGATCAGGAACAGTGCCCCCAAACCTCCTTCTGTTGAAACATTCTGCCTCCCTCTTCTGAATTTTCATGGTGTTTGTCATTTCTTCAAGCACGGCAAGGTCCGTCCTTGGTACATTAAAGTGCAAAGCATTGTCAGGAATCTAGGTCAGGTAAGAGCATGACTGCGGCCGGCAGGGTCTGCTACCCACCCATGTCTCAGGCCCCCGGGGGCTGTCCTCTTCCCCACAGGTACCAGACGTGCTCCAACAATGGACTGGTGGCGGGCTTCCAGAGCCAGTACTTCGAGTCGGTGCTGGATCGCGAATGGCAATTCTACTGCTGTCGCTACAGCAAGCGGTGCCCGTATTCCTGCTGGTGAGTCTGAGTTCCAGATCCAAGCCCAGTAATCCCCGTGCTAGAGTTAGCTAAGTATGGTTAACTTGCTCGGGCTGAACTCGAACTTAGGATCCTCCTGGCTTGGCCTCCCAGGGTGCAGAGGTTACAGGCATGTGCCACTGCGACCAGTTTGGGCTGCCACGTCTTGAGCTCAGCCACGGAATCCTGTCCTGATGCCTTTTCCCTCTATCATGGCAACTTCTCATCACAACCAAGGCTACAGGGCCTGTTTGGGACCTTATCTTCTGGCACTATCATGGGTGAGAGTTTAGGAAACAGTTACACACAGAGAGAAAGACGCTTCTCTTTCTGGATCAAGCTGCTGTCACAGCCTGTACTATGCAGTTCCTTTCTTCCCTCTCCCTGGCTGCTACCGACCTCCTCCTGACCCAGCCTTCTAGCTGACTTGGAAAGTCTGTATTTATCCTGATAACTCATAACACAACTTGTCCCAAGTCCTTTGGTCGGCAAACAAGCCATGCATCTCTGCCTTGAACAAAGTGATCCGAAAGGGTCAACCTTTGAGGCTTGGCTCACCCAAGTGGTTCATCTCTGCAGCTAGACAGCGTCCCTGCAGATGCCCAGGAGGCCCACACTGCCTCCGGGAAGGACGACTCCAAAAGCTTAGCGCCGTTCTTTCCAAAGTCCAGGCAGATAGTAAACTCAGAGCTCAAAGCCCACTGAGATCTGTAGTTGCAGGAAGGAGCAGGGGCTCCTCCAGCTCCCGAAAAGGGCTTTCAGGGGCTCCACTGCCGGAGGTGAACAGCCAGGCTGGGTGACACAATTATGACAGAACCTGGATCAAAGTCCCCACTCCATGGGGGGCAGGTGGAAGAAGGTTGATCCATACGGGCAGAAAAACATGAGTTCCAGTCTGCACTGGCTGCCGCTCACAAGCTCCTTCTCCCCCACCCTTCCTCCAGAATCTACTGTAGCCAGGCTGTCTCTAGGAAGCCCTTTATGCCTCCAAACCCTCATCCACCACTGAAAATGAGAGCTATGCTTTCTGAATTTTACAATATCTGATAGACCATGGGCTCTGTCTTCGGGGAGGTGGGGAGTGTACTCAGCATGTGTGTGCAGAGTTTACTGAGGATGACAGAAGTCCCCCGGCTCCCTAAAGTGGTCCATGGACACACTGTTAAGAATCCCTGTGGCTCATGCTGAAGCCCTCAGGACTGCAAGCTCCTTGGGGTTGCTGCAAGTCCTTGAAATGTCTCCACTCCAGAGCTGCCTTAGCAAAGGGCCACGCAGTGGAGGTTGCAAAGCTGAGAAGGCAGGAGATGAGACTGCCTGCTGTGCCTGAAGGACATTTCCTCTTGCTCCCCTTCCCATTTGCATCCAGAAGGGCACTTCCTGCAATGAAACCAGCCTCCCTTCATTGCAGGCCTTCAATGCCGGTGAAAATGTGAGTAAATGAACAGGCAAAAACTAATACTCATGGTGTTCTTGTGTGTGCCACACTATTGAGACTCATCAGTGAAACAAGAGCACATCAGGGGTGGGGCACATGAGTGGCCCAGAGGCATGCATTCTGGAGGAGAAGGAAGGGAGAACAAGAGAGAAGGCAGCCCTGGGGGCCACAGCAGAGAGGGCGGAGGGTCAGCAGGTGCAGGTGTGTGAGGGCCTGTGCCTGGCCCTGGTCCAGCCCCTGGGAACAGCACTTGTACCACATTTGTGCTCTTGTCTATGTCTCCCCTCGCCCCGCCACCTAGACTGCAAGCACTTTGAGGTGGGGGCACTGATCTTTCTGTCTCTAATGCCTAAGATGGTGCATGAAATATAGTGTCTGTCTAATGACATTGAGTGAATGTGCACACAAATTATTCTGGAAGGCAGGCAGAATGCAGTGAAGTAGCCCAAGAAATATAGTTTTCAATATTTTTTTAATTCTTCCACCTACCTCTGCCCTATAATATCAGCCCTACTCAAGAAGAGATCTTTGTTTTAATGTGTGCAGAGCCCTTTCAATAATGTTAGGCACACAGCAGAACACTCACTAACATTTGTTAAATGATTAATGACTTCAGTCTCTCCACTAGTTTGATTTTGAGAATTAAATGAGATATATGCTTGGCACTGCCACTGATTATGATGAAACAGAGCTGGCCCATCCTAAAACAATGTATTAATCTCCTTTCCCATTGCTGGGGAAAAATGCCTGACACCCACAGCCTAAAGGAGAAGTGGCTTATTTTTAGCTCACAGTTTCAGAGGATTCAGTCCATGGTCAGATGGATCCAAGGCAGGAACCTCATGGCAGAAGGGCGTAGTGGCACCAAGTGCTCACTTCACAGTGGCCAGGAAGCAGGACACAGGAAAAATGCTAGAGAAGAAGGGACCAGGGGACAGATGTAGTCCTCAAGGTCACACCCTGACCCATTCAGAGTCTGTAGCCAGTCCAGTTGACAGTCAAAATTAAGCTTCACAAACAGAGTGCCTTCCACCTTCCCAGTTGAGAAAGAGACCAACCTCTTAACCAGATAACAAGCTTTTCAAAAGCAGACTGTGCCCAGGATCAGGTTAGAGGCCAGAAGGCCATGTAGGGAGCAGAACTTGTGACTGGAGTTGGATACACAGGGGAACAAGTGTGTTACCTTGGACACTCTGTTGAGGCACATACTCTTCTTTCCCTTGCAGAAGAGGAAGGAGCTGGGGCAGCCACATCCCTCCTCACTAGAGCCCGATGTCTCTGTGAAGATGAAAGAGTCTGCCAAGCAGAATGACAGTGGAGAGTGGGTTTGGGCCTGAGGCTATGGGTGATCAGCTGAGCAAGAATTTGAGGCTCACTGATTTTAAGAAAACTGTCAAACAGCAGAGGAAGGAAGTGAATGGAGTTAAGGGTAGCACCTAAATCTGCAATTCCTCCTACATTCAGCAGATCTCTGTGATCTCTGTTAAGGCAGCATTTTGTTTGAAGCTTGTCCTGTTTATCTAGATGCTGAGAATTGAAATGGACAGGGCTTTATGTCTCAAATTCCACTGCTGTTCTAGCGATGCTCCAGATTCAGTGGTCACCAGGAACTGGTGCTCTCCCTCTCACATAATTTAGAAAGAACTTCTCAAGTTTCCCTTAGATGCAGCTTATGAATTGAGATGCTAAGAATTTCATGAGTGTGCAGATAGAATGTAGGAACAAAGTCCCACAGTTAACAGTTGACAGATAGAGAGGAACAAGTAATATTTCCGCAAGTCTTGGACTGCAGTGATCTTCCCACCCTCACTCCCAGCCTCGAACCCCTTCTCTTCCCTCACTAAACCCCATGCCCAGACACACTGTTGTTGATCAGAACCATAGGACAGAGTGGAGAACTGCTCAGAAAGGCATGCAACTTAACTGTGAAGTGAATCCCACTAACTTTCGCTTCAACTTGGTTGGTTCTACTTTTGACAGCTCCATATTAGAACATTTTAGTGGCATCTTTAAATTGCCTGAGTCATAATGTTACATTATGTCTTTCTGAATTTAGTGAAGCCTCCCGGGCATAAATTAGGTCTTCTTCCTTCAGTATTTGTACATATTGCCCGCTATAAAGTAGACCCTTAATAAATCTGCAAACATCTGCATGTTACAAGCCCCTAGGAACAGCAACAATGGTGAAGCTTGCTTTTGCTATGATGATGCTCTGTAGATGATAAAGATGCCTTTCTTCTGTGTTATTTTATTAAAGCCCTTCAGACTGAAGTGAGAACTCTTTTTCCAACACCTTTCTGGATCGAAGGTGCTGATTTTATTATGCTCGTCATTGAAACTCTTCCTTACATCTCTTTAACTGTCTTCAATTACCTCCTGGGGAACTGGCACTCCTGGGTAGGGGCTGCCCTTCCTCTTCCATTTTGAAAGATATTCTGCAGCACTGTTTGGAGCTAATTTGAAACATTACCACTCTGCGCTGGGGAAAGAAAGAAACAAATCATCAAGCATCTCCCAAGTGAGTGCAGGATTTATTTGTTTGGTGGGAACCAAGGAGCTGCTGCATGTCAGTGTGTGTAGCTCCCTGGTGGCTACCATAGCCTCGCTTCACTCTGGCAAGAAAGTGAATTCCTGAGAGATGTGGACATGCCGTCCCCACTGGGTTGGATGCACATGTACATTTTACACATATTTATTTATACAGGAAAAATTCAAATCCTTAGTCTAGTGGTCTGCAAACCACAAACACATGTCGGCAGAGGAGCCACAACTCTTCAGAGACAAACTACTTGTCCCTCTCCAAGCTTAAACCATGAGCACCAGTCTGTCTCCCAGCCAGTGGAGGCTGTGTGTTCCCGGGAATGGAGAACTTTCAATAGAGCAACTCTGTCTTCTCCGAAATGACATTTCTTCCAATTCCTGGTCACTCAGTAGGTTCATTGGATAAGGTATTCCGTCAGACAAAATCATGCATCAGCTGAGATGACCTTTACATTTTCATTCACCTCGTGGATTCTATGGCCCTGTCTTTGCATCCACCACTGCCTACCTCTCTTCTCTGTGAGCCCAAATCCTAAACCAGAGAGTGGTTGTTATTAATTCCTTGATAGCCTGAATTAACAACGACAAAATCCAGTAAGCAGGACATTTGTCTCCCCTGTTGCATTGCAATCTTTCATTCCTGTCCTTATTGCTCAGATCTGAATGCAAGATGGGGTGGGTATTTGCCAGGCCACTCTATGCATGTATGAGGGACAAACATTGTGCAAGGGGGTTGATCACGAACGCACTGGATTTACTAAAGAAAATCCTCAATAATTTGCCTGCCAGAAAGGCCTATGGCATTTTTAGCTAAATATAGAACATATCAACATATCAAATCACACACATTGAGTTTCTCTTCTATGCCTTCTTCAGCACTAGATCAGAAAGGAGTGGGATGATATATAGTAGTGATTCCTCAAAGCTCACAATATTGGTCATTTCCATGAGAAAATGCAGGTGTTTTCTCCCCAGTTTTACAGTAAAGAGCCTGTGATGTGTGCTTTTCCGGTTTCCTCTACAGAGTGGGATAAGATCGAGCAGGTGACTTGCTAACTTGGGGACATCAGACAAGGTCACAGTTCTTCACATGCATGTTAACAGGAGCAAATGTGCCAACGTGGAGCCTCTAGGACCCTTCAAATGACCCAGGTGTCCTAACTGGCAGCGGTGACAGGCAGACCTCAGAGCTATAATGGTTGACTTTGGGTCCAAGCACTCCATAATCAGTAAGGTTTGGTGCAGATGGGTTTCCACACAATCTTACATCAAGGAATAAATTGAAACCCAGCTCTCACCTATACTTCTGACAATTAGTAAAATGGGCCACCTTATGGAAATGCACTGTAGTTGTGTAGCTCTTTCCAAAATGGGTGTGGCAGTATGTATCTACCTCAGCTGCTTGACAAATCCTATTCCTATGGCACAGGAGCCCTGGCATTAGCTGGCAACAGCTCAGTCTGCGATCTTGCATTGGTCAGCACATACTCATTGAGTGGAGTTGGATCTACTGACAATGTCAGTGCTTAATGACTCTTGGGTGAGAGAGTCCTACATCAATCTTAAAACGTCTCTTCAGTAGAACTGGCTTTCTTCCACTCGTATGTGAGACAGTGTTTTTCTCTCTCTCCTTCAACCTCATTTGACATGAGAAGCTATACACATGGTCCCATGTGATCACACTGTCCCTCACTTGTAGCTTTGGAAAAACTGTTTCTTGCTTTGCCTGGAGACAAGAGGAAAGCACTGGGGAGTAAGAAATTGTACCTCAGTAGACTTTCATCCAAAAGTGACTGGGGCATGAACACACATACACACACACACACACACACACTCATGCACACACACAGGTATTTATTTGTTTGTTTGTTTGTTTATTTATTGGTACCAGGGATCAAACTCAGGACTTTGCGCTTGTGAGGCAGGCAGCAGAACCACTGAGCTAAATCCCCAGCTCACACACAGTTTTTAAAAGAGGGTAAGAATGGTTCCCTGTAGAAGTGCTTTAAACATAGATTTATTTCAGTAAGGTGAGTAAAGATGCCTTCCTGAGCTATCTGCCCCCTCATCTCGCCAAGCCGAAGACTTTGATCGTTTTAAGAGGGCTAGAGGAGTGTGGCAGTGCTCAGGATGAAGTGGCTATTGCCTAAAGTGACCGAACATTTCACAAGGAAGCTGGAACCACACCAAATTCACTCCCCCTGCCACAGCTAACAGGACCCTGGCCAATCTGCTTCCTTGTAGCCTCATTTAATTTCCGGACAAATCCCTATTCCCTATCTCAGTGTCTAGCTGTGAAAGATTAATTTTTTTTCTCACAGGAGATATGACTGGAATATTGTTTTAATTAAAGCTGTGTGTGTGTGTGTGTTTGTGTGTGTGTGTGTGTGTGTGTGTGTGTGTGAGACATCATCAATAGCTAAATGGAGACACATCTATCTGGTTCAAAAATGCAGAATCTTGAGCCATACCGAGACAAAATTTCTTGTTATATAGGGTGTTTGAGAGTCACTTTCTACCATTGGGTGGGGCCATTTCTCCCTTTGTATTTTTAGTTTCACAAAGTAGCAGTGATTTCCATTGATATCTAACTTTCTTCACCATCCCTCTCACCCCAGAGCTCTGTAAGATAGTATCAATTCCCTCTCATGATTTTAGCATAAAAATAAAACACTGACAATTAAAAATCAAACAAAAGCAAGGCTTACTGGGATGGAGGTAGAAATGTACTTGTGAGAATCAACCCACTTTTTCCAGTACATTCTAGATATCCGCCCTCAAAGAGACTTCCCAGTAAAACTGTCAGACTGGGCTGGAGGCCCGAGTCTATTCCCTTCCAAAAGTGAAGTAATAGAGAATCTTTGTTAAGGAAATTACTGGATAACTATTTTCCCACTTAAAACTTCTTGCTATTTATTTAAAAATGCAAACTGTCTGTTCCTATTTTATCCAAATGTATTTAGCCATCCGAGTAATCTGAGGACAGATCAGAGTGCAAACACTCAAAAAATAAAAACCTAGTATGACTATTTGTAAGTTGTTTTGGCAATTTGATTTGGCCTAATGCACGATTGCCAAACACAGATAATACCTTAGCAGAAATTAAAATTTTTGTAATTAACTTTCATACATTATATCCAAACAGTGCTTCCAAAGTTCTGGAAAATATTTTATGTTCCCTGAAATAAAAACACCCACTCCAACAATCCCCTCTTCTTTGGATAAACTTAGTACAGTCCTTATCATGGCTCACAAACCAGTGGGGTCCACTGAAGCCCAATTAGGTGCACTTGGGAGCCAGTTAACTCTGACTCCTTTTTCATCAGAAGCGAGAAGTCCTGCTTCTGGTCTCCTCAGAAACACAGAATAGATTTCTGAGTTGGCAGAAATTCATTTTCCTTCATGAATATAACAAGCAATTATACAGTTATATGGCCTCGCTGGGTTGGGCCTTAGCATCTGATAGCTCACACTTGCATCTTAAGAAAAAGACGAATCAGAGAATAAGGATAATTGAGCAATGTGGAAAAAAGAATCACTACACGCCAAGAGAGTGAGGCTTCAGGTTCACGCTGACCCCCAGTGATCCGGGCCAACACGGACCTTGCAGTGCCCAGGCACTGAGAGCTTCCTAGTGCTCCTGCCAGCTTATACATCAGTCCCTTCAGGATCTCATGTGAGCCTTGACACTTGAGAAACAGATCATCTGCCTCTGTGGGAGAAGATCTTTCTATCGTCCATGTACAATGATCTGGCAAATACAGATCAAATTAGATTACTGATACTGAACAACTAGCTGTTCCCTGAGTTTATCTTTAGGGGTCCAGATAAACTTTGGAAAGCACCATTTCATGTAGAAAGGGCTATTTTGGTCCCAAAGATCCTTAGGAGCAAAGCCCTCATGAGAACCAGGGAATTCTAGACCTATTCTACCATAGAACATGCAAAATGTGATTGAAATACATGGCGAATGTTTACATTTAATAGATTTATTACAGTAAAAGACACATTGCCACTAATGCCCTTCAAAATACTCCCAAATACACCTATCCCGTTGCTCTTGCCACTTTCTGTTGCAGTTCTGGAAGCCCTCGTTAGCGATTGTCTTAAATTGTGCTCTCACGGTTGCCACGACGTCCTGAATCCATTCGCGGTATTCCACTTTCACAGTCACTTTGAATTTGGGAAAGAACTCAAAAGTGGCGGAGCGCTAGGTCTGGTGAATGAGGTGGATAAGGACAGACTGTGAGGCTTTTACGATCCTGCCTTTCCGTGTCCTGGCGCTTGGCAGCAGCATTTACCATATTTTTGGTCACATTTCATTAAGGACATTCAAGAAAAGAGGACTTCCGGCACTGCTTGAGAAAATGACAATGATGGGATGAGCGTGTTTGGAGCAAGGGGGACGATTTTGAGGGGAATTACTAGAAATGTTTTTGCCATAATAAATATTGTTAATTTAAATGGTCACTGTAATATTTTGATCATACCCTACAATATGCCTTCGCACACAGAAATGAGGAAGAAGGAGAAGGAGGAGGGGGGAGGGAAATATATTTTTAAAATTTAACACCTGATGTACACAATTATATCATGCATTTTTATTAGTCCCAATTACAGACTTATAGGTGGCGTTCAGTCTCCTACAGATCAGGAAACAGACCAACTCTCTTAAAGCCATTTACTTATTCAGCAAATATTTACTCTGTACTAGGAACTGTTTTAGCTGTCAGAAAAACAACTGTGGACAAGGAAAATCTTCACCTATGTGGAGATTACATTTTAGTTAAACGCTTCTGAATGTTTCTTTGGTTATGACTCGTGATAAAAAATAAACTGTCCCACAACTTATACATCACACAAATGCACACATATACATTTGAAACAAAAATTTTACACTCACAAATGAACATATCTTTACTGATACAATGCATTCTCTAATAGTCTGTTCTATTTTATTCCTTCTTTCTTAAAGTTGGTCATAACCAATTCAGTTGATTTTGTGATCTAATTATGAGCCACGCTCCAGAGTTTGGACACACTGTCCCAGCTGACTTGAACAGAATGGAACTAATATTGATATTATTCAGTATTGTTTCAACACCTGGGGAATCACTGCTGTCTTTGTCGGTGTATAGTATAATACCCAGAAAAAGGCAGGTAAAAAGTATCAGAAGAGCAGTCTTTTTGCACCTTGGAATGGTTGGTTGGAGGCCATCTAACCTCAATTTGGATCTCCCAAGGTATCCAAACTTCATCTTTCCTTCATGTATGTTTTCTGTTCGCTCTCAGTGTTGATAATGTTTTGTTTTCTTTTGTTTTGTTTTGAAATCATTTTCCCTCTAATCCCTTGTTCTCCCCATGCAGGATGACAAGGGAGTATCCAGGCCACTATGGGGAGGAAATAGACATGATTTCCTACAACCATGATTACTACATCCGGGGAGCCGCCACCACTTTCTCGGGAGTGGAAAGGTGAGAATAATGGCCCTTCCCTGTGGCCACGGGTGAGAGCAGTTGGGGACTAACTCCATGCCAGGACCATGTGTGCAGGATTTTTCCTATGGTAGTTTCTTAATCAAGGATTAACTGAGGGTGTGGCTGTTCATCAGGAAGCAATGAGAAGTGAGTCATCCTCGGGAGCTCAGCAAAGAGCGGTGCGATGAAGAAGGAGTCCTGCGTGTCCCAGAGAAGAGTCCTAAACTCGATGTCCCTGGATGTTCGAAGTCTCCCCCACACTCAGGCTCAGAGGGGACTTTAGTCACCAGGCATGAAAGCAGAGCACAAAAATGATTAGAGAAGTCTCCGTGGCCAGCCAGGACCCTTTCTAATCCTGGACCTCTGTGTGTCTCACATTTTAGGTTGTAGGAAGAGAGAGAAAAAGGGAAGAGATGAGAAGGAACACGAGAACTGCTGTCTGGGTCAGTTTGGGTGGCTCTTACACAAAACCTTAGGCTGGGACATTCACAAACAAATATAAATTTAACTCTCTCTTAAAAGAGCAATTTGAATGCCTGGCCATAAAACCTTGTTTATCTTTGCTTCTTGGTGTATAGATAACCTAAAACCTGGCTGCAATAATGAAAGTCATTTGGTAAATGCACACAAAGCAGGAGTTTGCTGAACATCTAAAGCTACGCCCTCTGTTGACACTTGCCTGAGCAAATGCCAGTAAATAGCTGATCACCCAGGCCCTTGGAAGGCCTGTGCTGGGATCTCTGTTCCCCGTCCCTAAAACAAACACTCTGGAGCAGCAGTAGGAATAATGCAGCCTCCTCAGCCTGTGAGGGGAGAGGGCATCACCCTGCTGCCTTTCAGAAGCTGAGCTGAGGTCTTGGCAGGTCTGGTGTGAGGTGAAAGTGAGTTGGAGAAAAGCTTAGAAGATCAAAAAGGGAACAAGATAATTCTGAAGTTAAAGTAAAGGACCCCACTGTGCTTTGGAAATATTTTCATGATTAAATACAGAAAAACCTCTCTGTTTTTGCCCTTTAGTGGGACTGTGGGAAGGACATGAGAGCCATGTCCTGTGGAGTTATGGGCACATAGCTGGGGAGATAGAGCAGCCCCTCCTATCAAAGGCCCAGATTTGAGTCCAAGAGACTTGGACTCCACCATCATCACCTATTTCTTAGACCCCTTACACCAACCAAGTCACTGAACCCGTTTCTTTATGGGAATAATGGATCACTGTGAAGATGTCAAGAAAGCACGTTGAGCATCTAGCACAACGCCAGAAATATTGAAGTGCTTGTTACGTAATAGCTACAGCTGTGACTCTTTTGTTCAATGCTATTAGGCTGCAGGAGTGCCAGGCCTAACTGATTTTATTAAATGCTTAAGTGAAAAACATGGCTTTGTCCTTAGCAAAGAACATTCCTTGACACCTACCCAAACCATGTTTTTCAAAACTGGGCAATCCTCTGTTTTCTAAGACCCACCCCCACCACTCCAGCAAATAAGCAACTCCAGTTTTGATAGGCCAGAATGGCTGCCATTCTTTTTCTCACTTTAGAAGGTTCTAGAGTTGCTCCCCTTTCCTTTTTTCCTCTGTGATGGTCCTCTCTGAAAGGAAATCCATCCTGCCTGCAGCCCAGCACAGGTGAGTACTCAGTGAAAGAAAGAATCCGTGAGAGGATGGACTGGCAACTTTGGAAATTCTTTGGTTCCAAGCCGTTAGCCTAGAGCTCCTTGAGGTACTGTGGGGAACAGCCATGAAATGCAACCGCCGGCAACCACCAGGAGCCTCCCCATGGCCAGTAACCTAGCTGGTCCCCTTCAAGGGGTGTCTTGTCTTCAATGACCTGATGGTTCACTGGAGACTTCAAAAAGAAAGCTTCTAAGCAAAGTTGAGGTTCTGTATCCCTTCAGATCTGAGATCCTGCAAATGTGCTTCCTTGCACCTCGCCCAGCTCTGATTTTTCCTGCAGCAGGTATCTGTTCTCACTGACATTAAGCTCTTGACTCTCCCAACAGGGATCGCCAGTGGAAGTTCATAATGTGCCGGATGACTGATTTCGACTGTGAATTTGCAAGTGTTTAATTTGCCAGCTACTAAAGCAGGGTGAAAGGAAAGAGGCCAGGAATCCCGAGGGTGTCACATATGTTAACATCAGTTGGACTCCTATAGCTGTCTGTACTGCTCTCTTTTTTTCTCTCTGACCTGGGAGCTGCAGTGCCAGCTTCCTGGGCCTTCCTGACTAGTGTCACATTTACAGTTAAATCCAGAATTAAACCATGCTTTTCACTTTCAACACCCTCCATAGCAACTGTCCTACGTGACTGGTGACGGCCTCCTTGCACACCACATGCACATACAGCACACAAGCTTCCAGCCCAGCTCCTAGAGCACTTACCACAGCCTTGCGACTGCTGCTACTACAAAATGAGCTTCAAGTTCAGCATGGTAAACTTAGAGGGAGGGAGGGAGGGAGGGGCACAGCTTAAGCAGGGGTATAGTGGAGGCTCTCTACAGCTAAGTCTGACCGACTGACACCCAGGGTCCTCACTAAGAGCATCCCTCAGCCTCAAGGTACAGGCATCCACCTTCCCTCTGCACGGGACACATGCATGCTGCCAAGTCCAAGGGCAGAGCTCTGTGCTCCGGAAGTGAAGGACTGGCAGGTGAAATAGGGAGGTGGAAAGGTTCGAGGGCAGAGCTGGAAGACTGAGGGCTGGGAGAACGTCCTCAAATCAAAGATGAGTGTTAGCAAACCCGGTGATGAAAATGGCTGTGGGGCCAGTGGTACCCGTGGGAACCGGTCCCCAGTAAGGTAGAAGTAGTGAAAAGAGAAATGTCAGAGAACGGGGCTCAGATTGGAACCCTGGGGAGGTGAGAGTGGCCAGGTGACTTTCAAAAATTAAAAGTGAGGTTTGAGTCATCAGCAGCTAGAGGCTTGCCCAGGAGGCCTGGGGAGGCTGGCACGTGCCCGGTAGCCACGGGGCGCCACTGGAAACCTGCCTGGACTCATCCAGGTTTTGCGGGTGGGAAAGGCTGCCCCGAGGATCCACCTCCGTCTGTGTGAGCTTGGGGATGTCCTCTGCAGAGGTGGTCCTAGCTTGCTTCCTCCTGTGATGCTTCTGACCCCAGCCATTTATATTCTCTCCTTCATAAAAAAATAAAAATAAGAACATTTACTATGTTGCAAGTATCAAGAGTCTCTCTCTTTTGTTTTTTCTTTTTTTTTGCTTTCTGTTCTAAAAATACATCTTAGCATTGTGATTTTTGCCAAAATACCAGGAATGACAATAACAGGGTGTGGTTGGGAGATCAAATAGTTAAAACAAATTTCGAAGTCCTTTCTTTACTTAAGATTGGACAAACGATAGATCCACATCTCTCTGCCTTTGAGTCCAGCCCCGTTTTCCCTCAGTATCCTCGTCACACACGCAACTTTAACCACAGGAAGTCCCCGTTTCCTTTGCCTACACAGTTTGCCTTTCATCTTCTGATCTCAGTTGCCCTTCCCTCATCCTCTCTCCCAGGGAGCCCAAGGAAAAAGCCAGCTGGACAGAACCCCAGGGATGCACTTTGCTATACACTTCGGTGGTCAGGATGGTGAACCTCAGCCAATGGTGACAACATTTCGCACTGCCAGATCCCAGCATCACGATGGCAAGATGCAGCTAAGGATGTCTTTCTTTGTCTTCACTCCGAAACATTTTTTCCTCTTATAGTTTTGCTTTATTTCCTCCATTTCCTTGTTTCTGCCTTTCTGGAAATTTCAGTTGATAAGAAGAGGTTTCCTGGTGTTATTTATCACAAAGGGAGCCATTAATATTTTAGCGGTTGCAGCACTGGTTCAGGATAACAACTCGGAAGTGGCCTCAGTAGGGTGTGCCGAGAGCAGGTGGGAGAGAGACAAGCAGTTGCTGATTAGTTGGCCCGGTAGCCATGATGGAAACAAAAGGCCGGGGGCGGTGAGGGAGGATGGCGTGGAGAGGCCACATTTGGAGGAGCTGTCAGGAGTCTGCAGGAGAACACAAGTCAAGAAAAAAACAGTGGTAAGGCAGCCCAATAAAAGCATCCTTTCCCAGAGGGAGTAAATGAAGTTTTTACAAAGAGGAAAACTATTCTTTGTACACAGGTCAAGGACAATGACAGGAAAGACATTAAGAGCTTGGTTTGAATCTGAATAATTTATACTTTATATTATATGTCAGAGAGCAAGAACTAAGTATCAGAGTTGGGACTAAATTTCAGATCTGACTGCATGTTCTCCTCTATTCTCATGTCCCCAGTCTTTCTGCTCACTTTTGTTAGTTTTGGTTACGTCATCTCTCATTTCTAGGCCTGCTGTCTAAAAAGCCCAGGCAATCATGTGTTCATATCAAGGTGATCAGGTGGGTGTTTTTGCAATTCCAGAGTTCTGTGAATTCCGTTGTCTGCTCTGAATTGTAAATTAAGGGATTTGTTGAGGCATTTTTTTTCTTCCAGAGGAAAAAGGTTAGCACTATAGATTAAGACTTAGGTTCCACTCCCAGATCTGCCAGAAAATAACTGTGGAATGTTAGACAAACCCTGAAAGCCACCATTTCCTCATCTGCCCAGTATAGGGAGGAACCCTTTTCCCAATGATGTCCCAAGATGGTGCCCACATAAAATGGGAAATGCGAGTCTCATGTCTCAGGCCTGCAGTCCACTGAGGTGGGAAAATAGTGAAGATGAGCGCAGGAAATCCCATCTTAGTTTCTCTTCTCAGACATAGTACCTGACACCTGCAACTTAAAGGATGACAGGTTTATTTTGGTCCCCACTTTCAGTCCATTAGTGGACTGGCTCCAAGATGGGGAGTCTGGCGGAAGGGTCTGGGGAGGAAAGCTGTTCACATCATGGCATCCAAGAAGAGAGAGAAGGGAGGAACTGGGCAGTGAGAGAGACCCTTCCAATGACCTGCCTCTTCTGATCAGAGCTTATCTCCTAACAGCAAGTCAGCCCTGATCACCCAATAACTCAGTCACCTTCCAAACGCATGGGGTGTTAAGGGCCATTTGGATCTAAATCACAACATCGCCCAAGGGAGCTGAGGCTGTGTGTGGTCCCAAAGAACAGGACAGATTTCTCGTGTGGTGAAAACGTCACGGCTCAGAACCCAGAACACCTGAGCATGAGTTCTGGCTCTGTTGTTGCCCAGCCTCATGATGGACCTTGGGAAAGTTTTTTGATTCCATTTCCTTGTGTATAGATATAATAACATCTGCATCATAGAGTTGCTATAAAAATTAAATGAGAGTATATACTGTCCTAAATATAATAAGTATGTGATATATGTAGTAAAAGAAGGGGAGATAGATACACATGATATGTATATCACATAAATCTTAGATATCGTAAATATCTCATATATCTCATAAATATATCATAGTTATAGCATATATTTCAAATATATCTCACATATATCATAGATAGCTCATATGTCTCATAGATATGTCATAGATATATATAGATATCTCATATATGTCTCATAAATATGTCATAAATATCTCATAGCTATCTCATTTATATCATAGATATCTCATAGATATCTCTATAACTCATATTTATGTCTCATAGATATCTCACAGATATCTCATATATCTCATAGATATATCACATAGATATCACAAAATCTCTCATCTATCTCCATCTCTCATATATCTCATATATATCTCACACACATAGCTCATATATATAAATATACATATATCACATCTATCTCATATATATCTCTATATCATATATATCTCCCATCTATCACACTAACATCATATATTTCACATATGTCTCACATATATTTCATATATATATCATATATCTCACACAGATATTGCACATATGTCCTATATATAGCACATATATATCATACATATATCACATATATCAGCTACTTTTCTATCACTGGGGCAAAATATGCAGCACCTGCAACTTGAAACGGGGACATTTATTTGGCTCACAGTTTCCAGTGAATTCAAGCCATGGTTGGCTGGCTCCAAAGCATAAATGGCATGGCAGAGGCTCATGGCAGCAGAAAGATACTCATCCTATGGCAGCCAAGAAGTAGAGAGAGAAGGTTAGGAGCTGGGGACAAGCACACAGCCTTCCAAGTCATACCTTCCAACAAGACCCAACCTCCTACAAGGATAATCAGCTATGAAGTCACAAATAGATGAACCCACTGATAAGCACAGCACCCACATGATCCTGTCATTGTGCACACACATGAGACATTATGGGGGCATTTTACATCCAAACCATAAAAGTATACATTGGAAATAAAGCTCCTCGGGTGAGATGGATTTTAATATAGGTCAGTGACAGGAAAATATCATAAAATAGGTGAGACTTATGCTTGCTCTCAATCATTCATTTATTCATTTGTTCAGTTACCAAATCAATAAATTACTAAATGATTATTATATGCCAACCACAGAACTCATTATGGTTCCTGAATTTGAGAGAACTACAGAATAAAGGAGTCATACAAGCCAACAAAACATAACAGTACAGATAAGTTGAGGACAGGGCTAATTTCATAGAGGGTGGCGAGGAGTGAGGAAGAGAAAGTGATATTTGAGGCAATAGAAACAATATGATGATAGGTGTAAAATAATGCGTGGATTAGGGAAGTTTTCTCAGGAGGCAGGCCTCCCAAGCGCATCTGAAAAGCCCAATATGCAGCTATACAGCCCTAAGGAGACCCACAGGAGACAGTATTTTTGCATGTTAATTGTAATACATAATATTTATCTAGAGATCAGGCATAATCCAAGGTCTCTTGACCCTAGAAATCTAAAGAGGGAGAATTAATCACACACATATAGACACACACGCACACACACCCCACTGTCTTGGCCTGAGGACATTATTTCCCCTCTCTTTCTCCCCCTCCCCCTTCCCCTCCTCCTCCTCCTCCTCCTTGCTCTTCTTCTTTTCTTTTGGTACCAGGGATAAAACTCAGGCCCTTGCACCTGAGAAGCAACACGGTGTACTGAGCCAAATCCCCGCTCCCCTTTTCTCTTCTTCATGACTTCTCATCCACATATATGTCCTTTATACACCACTTCTTTGATACAGACATGAATCGATATTTTTTGAGTTCCTTCAAAGTAATGCATTCTCACAAAAGCATTGGTGAATACACAGAATAAATGAATAAATTAAAATACAAAGAACCCTTCAAATTGTAGACATTTCCAAGTATTTTCTTATTCACCCTGAAGTTCGGGCTTTCCTCTCCAGCTGGCCCTATTCTGGCTCCAAGCCTACGTGAGTTTCTTCTTCTCCTGTTGATTGGAGGCCGTGTTGCTAAGTGTGGCCTCCACACCCGAATGCTGTGCTTGCCACAGTGGCCAAGAGAACAGCGGTCTTATGGTCAGCAGCACCCACTCTAGTCGCAGAGTCTCGGTGACCTGTAATTAAAGCTTGCTGTTTAATTCTGTTTCATTAAAACCCCATCAATCCTGCTCCAGTCAGCAAGGCCCGGTAAGTGGAACCCTCCGGAAAGTGCCTGGCTGGCGTGGATGTGTCATCCCACCTATCGTTAACCTGCTGTTCTCTGCTAGACGACTTATTCCTTTGTAAGGCAAGGATAGGAAAACACACTTGGCTCAAAACTTGGAGGAAGGAATAATAATAATAATATATTCACCCACAGCTCAGATTTTCTAGGAGGCTACAACTTTTCCCAGAATGGAATATCCCTAAAACCTGAAAATCAAAGTTGTATTTATGGCGGGCCACTGGGCCAGCGTGAACCTGCCCTTCCTGCCTCTCCTCACCTAATGAAGGGCTGTGTCCCAGAAGGAACCCACTTATCGCTGTGAATGGATGCACTGTTTCAGAGACAAACACTGAGTGGACGTTTTGCAAAATGCCAATGATGACGTCTTCTGGACCGTAGCATTACTATGTATTTATTTCTTCACCCTTCTTTATATGTTCTGCCTTCCCCAACTTATAAAAATTAGCATTGTATTTATAATCAATCACAAAAGAGAAGTGATTTCAATCTCATGGAGCAAAAGCAGTCCCTGGTCCAGCAGTTCAGCCCTAGGATGGTATTCTAGCTGCAAGGTGACCATATGGCTACTTCATAGACAGAATGAGTTTATCAAACCTGATCCTTTTATCTACCTTACTGCTTAGTGGGTTGTA